GTCACAATTTTTTGTGATGTTTGACAAAATTTTACATTTTTGTCTATCGTATGGTAGTGGCATAAATCTGCACATTAATTTATCTCCTTGTTGTCCACATAAACCCATGCGCTTAAAACAATATCGATTTTTTTTATTTGTTATAAACGAATCCAATCATTAAGTGCAGTATCATTATCCATCTTGCATTTGAAATTTTTTATCACTTCACTTTTAAATTTTTGTTATTTCTACTCTTTTTGACAAGCCGTAACACACTGAATAATGTACCTACGCTTAATGAATTACGTTCAATATAGGTATGATTTGAGATACAGGTGTTGGGCAAATTGTCGCTTCTTGTACATATATTCAAGACATATCATTTTCTGCACTTGCCGCGTATATTGCATCCGAACATTAATAACTTATTGTGAGACGGGGTTTATAAAAGAAAAAAAACATCGGCTTTCTCAGAACACCAAACAAGTGATAAGGCGAACTATTCGCCGTTCCGTTTTACCAGTACATCACTGCCGCTTATTCTTCGACATGATTATACCGACAAAGAATTAAAACATACATAGATACAAGTAGACAATGCAGTTATTTATTTATTTCCATTTACATGCGAACTAATGGCAGAATACACAACTTTTCTTTATTATTATTACTTATATTAAGTCATAACGTTTTTTCTTGATATTTGTGATTTTATAATTTTCCTCGTACGTATTTCTTCTACACACACGCCACATTTCTAAATCTTTTGAATTACAGGGAAAAGTATAAAATGGTTTTCTTTTTTTTAAATATAATTCCAGAAGTTTTTACGCTATCCCCGTTAAAAAAATTATATGTTTCATGCAATTGTAAAATTTTTGTATTATCTAATAAAACGACATTGTCCGTATATTTTGTACTGAAAATAGTCCCTTTAAATTTGATTCGGGGAAAGTACGTCTTCTTTAGGCGAGAAGTTTTAAACGACTTGCTATGCCTAGCTCAGTCGGCAGGGGTTCTTCACATAAAAATATTATGCTTGTGCAAATAAAACAAGTTGTTCTAAGCTCATAAAACATATAATTCATAAAAGGCAACTACCAACTACGGAACACAAAATAAAATCAACTAAAAACCAAAACATAAAAACAAAAGCAAATGATATAACTTACAGGTACAAATGTTGAACTAAATACCCTACAAAAATGTCTCTTTTTAATCCCACCTTCGTCCAAGTTCCAGGCTGAGGNAAAACAATTCGGTGTAAACAAATATTTTTATATTTAATGTATGTATATATACTTATCAAAAGTCACACGTGTTCAATGTTAGGCCGAAGGGGGGTAAAACTTAGGCATGCCTAACATTAGGCAGCCTTACATTATCGGCATTAGGTCCGTATTAACGATTGCGCAGTGGCGCCTATCTTAGGCGTGCCTCAAATATTCCACACAAAAATTTCATGAATATGTCTTAAATTGGACTTCTTCAATGGGGACTTTATGAGGTATCAATTAGGTTTCCCAAAAAATTTGATACAGCATTCGTTACGCGTGCCTCATTTTGGCCAACCTAATGGGGACCTCTTAAAGTAATAATTAGGCTTTCCATATTTTGGTTTGCCTCAGTGTTTCCTAATTGGGTCCGCATACGTATTTAGGAATGCCTAAATAGAATTCTAGTCGGGTAGATATTGCGATACCTAATAGTTAATCAGAATAAATATTTTGAAATATCGGTTTTTAAACTATTTTTGTTAATGCTAGAAGCATATTCTTTTAATCTACTAGACATATATCTGCTTTATTGACCTATGTGAATATCATTAGGTACATTTGCTACATGACAGTTGATAAATGCCACTTTTTTCTAGTGATTTCATTTTCTTTTTATTATTAAGTAATAGATGTTTTAAAGTGACCAATATTTGTCAACTGCTATTTGCCTCATTCTGGAATTTGTTTTTGTATTTGTAACTAACAGAATTTATAAAATTTAAAGATACAGATTATTTATTAATTATAAAACCAACGCTGAGGCCATTATTGTGTAAATTACTTTTTGTTTCTTGTACTTATATTAATTTATTAGTTACTAGTAAAGCAGTGTATACGTTATTTGTGGTTGTTCATTTAATAATATGTAGTTCTATTTTATAGTTATTGTTTGATGAAGGTATGCAAATTAATAGATTAATTAAAGAATGGGAAACTTCTATTGTTTACCAAGAGTGGGGTTCCATCTCCCAAGCTGACGGTGGTACGGGTATTGTGCCTAACAAACCAGTTTGAGCATTCGCAAACGGTGCCTCTAGGACACTAAGCTACCTCAACCTTATCTCTGTGTGCGGGGCTCTGCATGGGTGGACTGTGTATTTCCAACGCTACTCGTGGGACTATTGTGATTCATAAAAAAAATCTAGCCCAAATACAGCATTTCAACTGTGGGGTTTCGGGTATGGAGGTCGATGAGGCGTTTTTGGATGCCCCATACCCAGGGAGGGTCAACACAGAGAAGTACGGGTACGGGTTATTCTTTTAGTCTCTACTGCTGGATGAGTATCAAAAACACCGTATGAAATGAGGCTGAATAGTTTTTGCTGATTCGGATGACATACCGGGGGGGCACTGGATCAATTGCCACCCACGAAATCGCCACAAATCAATATTTCCTTCCGTAAAGGAGGAGCGTTTACTTATTGTTTCATGTGCAGATGTGAAGGAGAGAACCTAATCACCTTACCCTGGGAAGGTAAAAAGGTAAGATGCATGGAACGTCTCTAGCGCGCATTGTTGTACTTATTATTTGCAGCGAGTATAAACCTCGCAGAAAGCTGAATTTCAGCCCCAAGTGGATTTATGTCAGTGGTTCATTTCGTTCTTTCACTAGTCTTCGATTAATTCATTACTTTACCAGGATTCCTCAGGCTGAACGGTGGTTGGTTTACAACAGATCGATGTCAATCGTTGTTTCTTTTCCGCAGATGAACAATGTTTGTTGTTTTCTTACAAGGTTTGTATGAGCGATGCTCAACATCGAACGCGTAATCCTATAGTCATCGTCATCAGCGCGCAATTGGTCCTTCTGAGTTCTTGAGTTGCAGTAGCCATTTCAGTGAGGCGCGATTTGTTCTTAAGAGAGACTTTCGTCTATACAGATGTTAACCGAAATGCTGAACGTTTTTAACCATAGCTAGTAGCTCTCGATACAATAGTCTCGCTTTTGTTTGGAGTGTTTTGACGATGACCTTTTTTTCCGTCTTGAATTTGGGATAACACATCGCTAAATCCCACTATTTTATTACTATTACTAGGTCGACATTAGCGATGAACGGTTCGCTGAACTTTGACTATTTCAAGTTTGGAACTCCAGAGGGTGGGGAGTTTTTAAATGCTTTTTACACTCTTTTAACACTTGGAATTCCATTGGAATGAAACTCCATCATCACCATAAGCTTATGTAGTTGTCGGGTTATATCGGAAAATCTTCGTAAAAATCTTCAATGGTAGGACCAAAATTCTAAAAATCTTTTACATTCATGCAGATCTTTTGGTATGGGTTAACGTCACACGGCATCTGTTAGGGTCGTTCATAAATCCTTCCGATATTCTTTCCAAAATAGAATGCATTTCTTGCGGCTGCCAATATCCTGCAGGCTTCAGTCACATTTTGGAGTAGAACGATTTTCCTACTAAAATGATTCTAAGCAAATCAAACAGATTTTTCATTTAGTTCTTCTGATACTGTCCATCAAGCTTTCGAATATAATCGGTGTATCGTAAAATCTAAAAGACGTCAAATTGAACTGCTATAGACTACTTCCAGTAATAAACGCAGTCTTCCCCTTATCCTGCGGGTGTACTATCATTTACCAGTATCAAGAGTAGATAACCACTTATCTCCGGCTAGACTATCCAGTGTGTCGTCGATTCTGGGTAGTGGCTAACTATTCATTTGTGTTACTTCTTTCAGCTTTCTGTTGTCTACACAAAATCTCATGGAACCAACATTCTTCTGTAGGTACTAGCATTATAGGTGAAGCCCAATAACTTGATTACTCCTAGTTTATGTATGTCTTTATAACCTTACAAGGTTATCCACTTCAATAAGCAATAAATTAGTTCTATAGTCCGTGACTTACAGACCGGTTACGCTGATAAAAATCTTCTTATCTATCATCTATTATCAAAGTCAACACAGCTGACAGCGCACACTACTCGTGACGTCACTGGTAGTCACGCACACCTTCTAGATGATGTACAGCACAATTTTATGTGCGTAGCTGCTTATGCTATTTCTAGTATCCACAATTAGGAAATTACAATCTTCTTAAACTTGCATAGCCAACATTAGAAGAATTAACATACTATATGCGAACATTAATATATTATTGGTGCATACCCCCAATAATTATTTTGCAATAGTGATCTAACAAAAAAATTTTCAAATTCATCACGAAAAATACGTCTCATAGTACTTGAATTTTTACCTACTGCCAGTTACCACAATTCCAAATTTTTTTCTTTAACTATTTTAATGCCTAAAAACAGATTTATAAAAACGCATTTGACTAGCGAATTAATTGAATGCGATTTTACTTATATAATATAAAGTTACACTATCCAGGTCCTAATGTCATATCGGGAATTATTTATTCTAACTTTATCGTTCAAGGAATAAAAGGATTAATACTGATCATGGCTTGGATGAACACAGTAAACAAATAGCAAGTGTATGACATCAGTCGCTAAAAATTTTGTTATTATTTATGGACATAACACTTTGAAGGTGTATTCGTATAACACCAAATTATTCGAGCAGAATAAATAAATAAATAAGGAGAGAAAAGGACAAAATACATATGACAAACATTCGACCTTTCTTTGTTACAAAGTACACCTTGGGGTGTACGTCCTCTCAAGTCCAGAAAACAGACATTAAATGCAGGTCAACAGTTTTTTAATCCAGGTTTAGTAGTAAAAAGAAATTAAAAAAAACTATCAGTGATATAATCTTACCAGATATCCACGTTGCATTGAAACCACTTGCCGCAAGACTTCCATATAAAATTTCTTCTAAAGTTATAGCAAAATCTTGATTATCTGCATTAGAATCGCCTTTATTTTTAAGAAAGATTACTAAAATAACAATAACTGCTGCTACTATTACGATACCAACCGCCAGTGAAATGAATAGAATTTTATTTTTTCCATGTCGTTTCTCCATAATCAGATCCTGCAAAGAAAACGATATTAAAAGTGTATCTAAAGCTAGCTCCAAAGCATGCAGTAAGAAACTAAACTATCTTAAAGGTAGCAACCTTCTTAAATTTCTTACAAAGATCATTTGTAAATTTGCTTATATTTTTTTTTAACTTCAATTCAAAAGATATCCTGCTGCGCATTCCCACTTGTGCCTACTGATAGTGTACGCCAACAATTTACAATGCTTTTAGCTAGGATTGAGTATGACGTTAGCTTGGGAGGTCTAAGAATTATTCTAGCTGTTATTTGATACACGCGCTGTTTCATACATCCCCAAACAAAGACAAACGGATTCAGATCAGGTGTGTCCAAAGTACAGGAGCGGTAAGTTCAATCCAGCGTTAAGGTAAATTCTACACCGACCTATGACACTGTAACATTTATCATCATAAGGTCATTAGTCCTAAGACTGGTTAGACACGCACCTCCATTCTTTCCTATCCTGAACTAATAATCTTTCCTCCAGACTAAAATAACTTACATCCTTAACTATTTGCAAACAGTAATCTAATGTAGGTGTATCTCTACTCCCCCTAACTCCCGCTTTTGTCTTTAAGATGTCTCATGCATGAGAAGGTGTCCTATCAACCTATCTCACCTATTTCTTATTTATTGACTTCCATAGAGTCCTCTGTTCTCATATTCTTTCTAATATCGCATCATTTCTAACTTTCTCTATCCACGAAATCCTTATCATTCGCCTATTACACCACATTTCGAACGGTTCTAACCTTTTCTTTTCCGCCGCACTCTCCTTCCATGTTTCGCAGCTGAACAGTGTCGCGCTCCAAACATACACAATTAACAACCTTTTTAGAATTTCTAAATTAACCGTAACTGTTTTTTATTAAAGGCGGCTTGACCTTGTCATATCCTCTGCTTTATATCCCCACTACTCCTACTTCTTCTAATTTTTCGTCTCCAATCTTTATATTGAATCTTTTCCTACTTTTTCTTCCTTTGCATACCAGTATTTTTGTTTTACTTTTGTTTATTTTCATACAGTACTGTTTTGTCAATATCGCTTTTTTAACTATCTCTAACTCCTCCTTGCCAGATGCTAATACTGCTATATCATCTGCAAATCTACAGTTGGACTGTCTTAAATTATGTTGATAGCGTCTTCGATAAATAGACTAAAAAGTAGCGATGACAGTGTTCGTCCCTGTCTGACTCCTTTTCTAGTTTTTACTTCTTTACGTTGCAGCCCCAGCTCTATAACTGCTTGTTGATCTTTATACAAACCAAGTGTTACTCTTCTATCTTTGTAACTCATCCCTACATTTTTAAGTATATTTAACATCTTGTCCCATTTAACATTGTCAAAAGTTTTTTCTAAATCTACAAATTCTATGTATGCACTCTTTCTTTTTTCTATCGTTTTCTCTATTCTTACCCATAATGCTAGAATAGCCTTCCGCGTTCCTCTATTTATTCTAAACCCAAATTGATCTTCCCCTAATAGTTCTTTCGCTCTTTTTTCCATCCTTATCTGTACAATTCTAGTTAAGATTTTTGACGCATGGGAAGTTAAGCTAATTGTTCTAAATATCTCACAGGTATCCGCGCCTCTCTTTCTAGGTATGGTTACTACCACGTTCCGTTTATAATCCTCTGGGACATTCCCCGTCTCGTAAATGTGATTAACTAGCTTAAACATACGATCTCTAACATTTTGTGCTGAATGTTGTAGAATTTCCCCCTGTATCCCATTTATACCTGGCACCTTATTGTTTTTTAGGTTTTTTAATGCTACATCGAACTCTTTTGTCATTATGGGATAACCTAGCTCATCTATCTCCACACTGTCTTCCTTCTCTAATATACCTCCTAACTCGTGACCTGCGTATGGGTTCTCTAAACATTCTTTCCATCTATCTGCCTTTTCCTTATTTTCTATCAAAATGACCCCTGCCTCGTTTCTTATATTATTACTATTGTACCCTACATCTCTAAAATTCCTTTTAATTGTATTATTATTATTACCGATACATTGACATACTTCTAATGATTTCGACTGTTCATATACATACATACATACGTAATACAAGCCTACAACGTTAAAAGAACAAAGATTTACCCTACGTTGGTTATAAACATACTCATTATAAAAGCAACGGCTGATGTTAATAATTTACATTGCTCTTAACATAAGTATTGAGTAATGTAAATTATTTATTTTAATATTTTCGCAAGCCTGCTGGAGTCTAAATCACAGTGTAACATGCACTACTGCTAGTTGCCGCTCAGAGGTGTCGCTACGTAGTTAATATAAGTAAGGTTACTTGATATATAGAGTACGACAAGAGCCTCAAGACCAAGAGCCACAAAAATTATTACGTTTTTTAATAAAATTTTTGCTTAAAACAAGTAAAAACATCAAAATCAATAAACAAATACTGTAAAACCATTACAAAGTCAAAACTAATTAGGATAAAAAACCGACGACTAAAAATAACAAAAATGTTGTAGATTGTAACATTTGTAACTGCGCGATTTAAAATTGCCATGTATACACAATGTAAAAAACAAAGAACAAAATAAAGATAATTTTTGAAACTGATACTGAAGAGTACCGCAAATCCGCCATATTCACTCCAAGGAAACGCGGTAAATTTATAATGTGATGATGACACGATGTTGAAAGCACTGCAAAGATATGGAATGGAACTATGAAACACTTTTAATATGGTCTATAATAAACTATTGACTTTATAGTAAAAAAATGCAAAAAATTAATTTCCCAAAATCGCTAATAGTAACTAGATAGATACCACAATTATATAAATAAAATCTAGCAAGAACCGCTCAAACAAAAGCATAATACTTTGGTTTTATGAGTTTTTCAAATACATTAACATTATATTTGTATTCGATATACTGATAGCTGGAAGTATCATTAAAAAGCATTTTTCGTAAAATATTATTTATATTATTGTTTTAACTACAACACGTATTGCAACACTTATACTGTTACATGAATTTGCAACAGTTTTTATATGTTAGAATTAATTTTTTTTTAGTACTATCTACGATATTATTATTTTTCCAGTTAAGAATTAGCTGACAAGTTCGATTATTTTCACTCCTAAAAGTGTATTGGGGTAAGGATTTCATATATATACAGTGTGTCCACTTAAGTTGGCAGCATATGGGAAACTTTCACCTTGAGTTTGGATGAAGAAATTTAAACAATTTTAAATGTAGGAAATAATGCACATTTAGTATTTTTAAAGTCAAAGTCGCCAGGATTATTAGTTTTTTGATTTTAAAACTAAGTAATACTTGACATTCAGTAAAAGACTGACCAATATGTCATGTACAAGGATACTTTGATCAGAATTGTATTATTGTTAATGTGTATGCATAGATATTCACTCATTTGGGGCAAGAGTATGAAGAAACATACAAAACCATAATTTTAACAATCGATAGATAAGGTTGCACATTTATAACTATTTTTTTATTTTTAATAACATTGCCATTGCAATGGGTGCAATCCCACCCTCTGACTCATTACCAAAGTACCTTATTTTTATCAATCTCAAAATTTTAGAATCGTCATTAGGTATTACAACTTCCTTTTTACAAGAACCGTTATCAACTCGTTACTACCTAAGTATTTTACTTCAATCGATCAAGTGTGTTTCATTTGAGATTATCCATAAAAAACAAGCTTGATTAAACGATTCAGAAATTCAGCTCCATGCCTTTTGCTAACAAATAAACGACGGGATGAATTATTAGTGCTTTAAAAAGGAGTTAAAATGTAATGTAATCTTTGCGAGAATTAAAACATCGCTGTTACATTATAATAAGTAGGCATTTTTTTTAAACACAAAATTCTGCGAAAAATAACCACTTTGCGTACTTATTTAATCGTAAAAACGGCATATCTTTTATTCATTTTCAGGTTCATTTTATGATAAAGATGAAAATTGGCAACGAGTATATTCATAAAAAGTATTTCTACATGAAGAACAAGATAAATGGAATAGGAATAGGTACATGAATAGGTTTTATGCATACACGTATTCAGTAGGTACATACAGCTAAGAAAAAGATTTCCGAACATAGAAATTGCACATTTTTTTATAGTCATTTTTCCTTTGTATGTTACGGAAGCGAAAATGCATAACTATGTGAACATGAAATAAGTTTTTTTAACTACGATTATCTCTTGCTTTCTGAAAAATTTCTTAAACTAACCAAATTTTCCAAAATCTTTTGAGCAAAGCATATCGTGATGAAAATGATTGCTGTGTAACTGATTATATTATTAGTTTTGCGTGGACTATGCTAAAATAAACTAAAATTATATCGAAATATTTGAATGCCCCATATATTGAACGTCACAGGTATTATAGTTTCTTTGTAAATTAATTTTAACTTTAAATTCACTTTGATGCACGGAATATATTATATGCACCTATTGGTGTAAGTACGTCAATTGATATCTTCAAAGTCACTATTCAAATGAATCTGCGAGTGGCTCGTCTTTCTCGTTTGACTTCTTGGTACACAGATACTTAAATACATTCCGACAAATCACAATAAATTGTTTTATACTTTTTCTTTAAATATAACATCTGTAGCTTAGCTTGTCTTGATTAATAATGCGTTCAGCAAAAAGTGCAAAACAAAAGCAAGAAGTTTTCATAAGCTAACTATCTTTTGTTTAATTTATTGTACTGACGAGTAAACGTAATAATTAATTTATAGCAGACAGATTAACTATAATTATTTATTGTTCCACAAATAAGTGAAGTCAATTTGGAATTTCGAGTAATTGAACAATTAATCGAAAAAATATTAGATAAAGAGACCTCCTTCTTATCTTAGATAAAATATAATCTTAATAAAATACTATTATATTGAATATAGAATAGGTTCCCTCCATCTAATTATATGTACAGGGAGGACAAATTTTATTAATGACGGCTTCT